CGCGATTTTGGAGGGGAGAGGCGGCGCGGCGTTGCTCGCACTTCTCGCCTACCCTGTATATGTCGCGCTCATCCCTCTACACGGGGAACCGTGGAGGAGGATGAACGATGCGCGACGCGCAGCTGGCGAACGAAAAGGTCGCGCTTTCTGCCCGCGAGTGAAATAATAAAGTCGTTACTCCGCGGAGCGAGTCGGTGCGCTCTGGAGTCGCTGGCGAACGCGGCGCGGCGTAGCTCGCTCGGATCCGACATTTCTCCGGTCTCCTCTCGGGGCGGCGAGCTTCCTTCGTGTGTTTACGTGTTGCGCGCACGTCGCGCGCGGGGAATCGATACGCCACGCCGCTCCGCTCCGCGCCGCGCCGCGCCGTGCCGCGCCGCATCCATGTGCCGCCGGGTTCACAGTGAGTGAATTACGAAATCGAGTGGACGGTGGCGTTCGCACGTGGCGCATTTTTTCCCCCATGATACTGAGTCGTGAGCGGTTGTTGTTCTTCTCCGGCGCGTAGGTACAGAAGCGGAGAGACTGTTCGCTGCGCGAACGACTGATCGGCTTAGAGAGTACGGCGTGCGACGACGAGGCGGACGCAGGCGAGACGCAGAGGCGAGAGGCAAGACGCGAGGCCGAACGTGTGCAGACTGTTCCGTGGATAATCAAAAGAGTCTTCTATGGGATATAATATCGCAAACTGGGAAATGATACGCACGAGGGAGGAACTCGCGGAGAAATTGGGCCTGGACAACGCGGATGACAGTCACACCTTGTTGAACAATATGGTAGACGTCAGAGCGTGCTACAAGCCCAGCGGAAAAGTAAGGACGATTCCCTTCTGTGCCGCCCCGTTCCCTCCTACGCTTCTCCCCGAACGATCCGCTGTACGTTTTCAACCCTTCCGCCGAACGGGCTTTGTTCCCTGTCGCTTCCGACGAGACGCGTTCGCTGCCGCTCGATGCGTTAACACGTTAAGCGCCATGTCAGTCACTGGTGACCGACGCTTCCGAATGACTAAAAGACAATCGTAACGTACAAGACAACCGACGTGAAATAAAAAAGTTTAATAAGGCAACTGAGTTGATGATAGTGTAACGCGAACGTTGCGACGCCAAACAATTCATAAGTATTCCTACTTTACTTTGCTACAAAAGACAAACTATGGGAAAACGCTTAAGATTTTCGTGGCGCTTAACGTGTTAATCTTTGTAGTTTGGAGTATTCTAACAATTGATGTGCATCGCATTTGTGAAGTCGTTTGAAAAGTATATGGAGAATTGAATACTGGATTAACACTAGAACTACCGAGCACTTGAATTGTTTTGAACATTTCTGTATGAAAGTTATGAATTTATATTTGAGTTTAGGTACTGGTAAATTAGCTTCTTTAGTTGTTAATTATTATTAATTCTTAAAGAAGCGTCTTCGCAGTAATTCTGAAAGAAGTCAGGAATTCTAGTGTTAATTGAATTTTCCTACGGATACGCGAGGTCGGCGGCGAACGCGTCAATCTGCTTGTTGTTTGTGATCGATACGCTTCGACGATATTTTAAACAATTCTTGTCTCTCTTTTTTTAGCGTAGAAAGAGCATTGTCGCTGCGCGAATTTATTATCGATCCGATCGATTGGCGTTGCGACGCGCACCGGTTGCATGTGATCGTTACGCATGTGCGCGTGTGTGCGTGTGCGTGTCGTGTGTATGCATGCCGTTGGCTTTTGTTTTCGAATCAAGCCGCGTTTAAAGCGTTCCACTTTAGAACCGTTCCGGTTTGATTTAAGGAAATTGGTATTGATTGACGACCCCGATGGGGGGACACGAGCCAGTCCCACTTCTTCGTTTTTCATTTCTCTTTAGGAAGCGTTCGTTAACATTGTAATAACCGTCCGCGTTCGATCAATCGGCGGGGGCGGGGGAGGGGCGGACGGATAAAGGAGTCCCCGCGGAATTGCGATGGTAATTGAATTCATGTCGCGAGTGCCGTCCGCCCCTCAAGCGCTTCAAGAGTGCTCGCAGAATTTCTTGAAAAGCGGACGCGAAGGTACAACGCTTTAACGAGTATTGTCGACGGAGTCGAGTGCGGAACGGAGCGCTGAAGTACTCGAATACTTGAACTCAAAATGGAGCATCGTGCTGTAGCGTCTCCCTTGGAATATTCGAAGCGAGGATCGAGTAACGGGGACTCTGTTGCACGAGCACGAGGGTACACAGAGCTCAAACGAGTCTCGGAGTAACAAGAATTCAAATCTCGGAGTAACAAGAATTCGAAACAATTCAAAATACAGAATCAATGGAAGCTCAAGTATCCTAGCAGCTCAACCTATTTCCGCACCTCGTGGAATTCCAAAACACCGTCGTTACTCAATTATTCAATCGCAGTCCATCCGCTTTCATCGCATCACTTTCACCCGTCTCATTTGTTTCGCCTAAGCGCCGGTCGCTCGGCGACATCAAATATGAAAATTCGGGGATCGCGATCCTTGGATCAAGCGGCTCGATCGTCGTTCCGCGAATTAACCCTTCGCACTCCAGAAATTTGTCACTAGAATTATTCAATTTACTTCTATGAGATACAGATGACATTCTCTTAAAGTAACTTAACGAGGAATCTATTTCCACATTTCACGTATCGACAGATTACTCGAGACTCAATGTTAAATACAATTATACAACTTTGATGCACCTTTGGAGTGCAAAGGGTTAACACTACCAATCGCTACCGTTCCGGGTTTGTCAAAGATGCGAGCGATCGTCGGAGAAATTACTCGACAAACGTACCCGGTAACGCGAGGCGGGGTTAATTAAAATTCCCATAAACGCGCTGTTACGATCCGCGCGAGAAAGATCACAGTCGGCTCGGCTGGCTCGGCAGTTGTAGCGTTAATTCCGTGCGCGGATCGGACGTATTCGGCGCGCGCCACGTGATACACAGGCCCCGGCTCGCGGGGCTACATAAAGCGGCATATAGTCGAGGACTCGCTAGTGCCAGCTCGGCGACTTTCGCGATCTAACGCGCGCGTCTGGAACTCCGGTGATCCGCTTCTGCGATCGTTGCACGCGCGGCGTGCACGCTCACGCCGTTTCTCGTCGCGTCCGCGGGCCGGCCGTGTCTCAATGAAACGCCGCGTTGCGTGACCACGCGTCGCTCGGCTGGGATTCGCCGACGCGACGGCGATCTTCGTGCTCGCGGAGCTGAATCGCGACCGGCACAGAACCGACTAACTAACTACTCGTCGCTCGCGTTCCCTCGTTTAGCGTTATCGCGCAAGCAAGCGCACACAAGCGCGCGCGCCCGTTCGCTCGTCCCTACTCTATTGTGTCCCTGAAGGAACTCACGGAGACTTCCCACGGAAGTCGTTTTCTAAGGCTCCTCGACTCGCGCACGATTCCGCCTCCGGACCCAGCGGACGACCAACACGGAACGCGGCGTCCTCTCATGGACAATCAGGTACTTTCGTCTGACGCTTATTTTCTGATCGCAAATGTGTATTCTGCGCTGCTCAGGACAGTTTTGAGAGCAATTGGACAGTTTAAATTCTTATCTGATTCTCTATGCGATTACGAATTGAAACTATAAACAGAAGCCTCTCTTGCTCCGATATCTCTGAGCAGTGAAGAGTACCTGAGGATTTTTCGCAGCAACCGTGTTACCGTTGCAAAGATATAGTGAAGTTGCATAGTAAGAAGTCGTGTGAAGTAAATGTTTCAAGTGACAGGATAAGTGAATCAACAGGAACGTTAATTACTCGAGACTGACTGGAATTTCAGAGTTTAGGTTCTACCTTCCAAGCTTAACCCTTTGCGGACGACTCTAGACATTTTGGAGAGATGAAATTCTCATATTTGGAATACTAAATTAGACTAATGATTCAATTACTCAAACACCAAGAGAATGTATAGTTTCCTTTCTATTGTTTAAGCATCTATTGTATGATTTAATTTCATATGCTTTATACTTTAATGAGTCTTCCTCCGCAAAGGGTTAATGTACAACCTACTATATCTTGGCCACGATTACACTAATCCCAGAATTCTTATTCCAACATTGTTCCCCGAGGATCCTTGATCGCCTCTTGTCTTCTTCGAGCATCATATGCAGACGTGGCTTTCATTTCAATTACGTGATGTATGACGAATGTCTTCTTTTATTCCTGAAACGTCCGTTCCCGAAGAGGTCCGCTGTTCCTCCAGCCACTCGCGTTCCCGTTTCTCCAACGACGTCCCTGCATTTCAGAAATATATTAGAGACTCGTTGCCAAATTATCGTGAGCATTGTTTCTCTATCTCGGTACTTTTACGCAGCTAAGATTAAACGAGATCCCCCGGACTAATCGTTTGCCTCGCGTTATCTCGACGGCACTCCGACTCGCGATTCGAGCACTCACCGCTGCGAATTCCGTTTTCGATTTTCGCTGTTGCGAAAAATCTCGATAGACAAAAACGCCGATTATTACCTTGCAGAACGGCGTTCGAATGAGAGTTTCGAAATCGCGCCTCGAAAGTTCGGTGTCGAGGTGAATCGGATTTATTGCCTCTCACGTAATCCGTTCGATAGCGGACAAACGAATTTCTGAGTCACTGTTTCTGCGTCTAGCGTTATAGACCGGCGGCCCTTAGGCCTATTATTAATTCATTCGTAACGTGGATACACTCCGCGTGCAGACTGTTCCTCGAATCGCGTGTTCGCAACGAAATATTCGCGTGGACGTTCACCCTTTGCTATCCAAAGTTTTTCACAAGGAAATATTCAGCATCTTCAAATGTAGGTGACGTTTCTTGAAGCAAACTTAGCAATTCACAGATGAATTAATTAAGAGTTCTAACAATTCTACGCTGATTTTCAATGATAAATCAAGTTGTATTGAAGCTTTCGCTGACTTTTCAATGTTTTCATGTTAACCCTTTGCACTCGAGAGGCGCCTTTCAGTCATTTAATTTGACTATGAAAATGATAAAATTTCGAATTCAATATTAAATTTTTATAATGCATCGACACATGGAACATCGAAATAAAATAGTTCTGTTACTTAAGTTATGCAAGGTATTTCTTTTGTTAGTCGTAAAACATATCATATTTCATCAGAAAGTAATGAATATTTGTTGAGAAAAATATTCTCGAATGCAAAGGGTCCATTCTTTGACACGTGTCTCACAGAAAATGTTTCCTTAGAAAAATTGCGCGTGATAAATGGCACACGTGGCACGGACGTGTTAAGGGACTGTTTCGTTTATTCTCCTCTCTCGAGTGCAGAGGATTAACCCTTTGCGGACGAAGATTCTCTGAAATGTACAAAATCTTCAACAGATGAAGCTGAATTATATATTAATGCCGAAATGTCGACATTCGTCCGCAAAGGGTTAAGAGACAGATCTTGGAACGACGTTAGACACTTGTGGAGCATCTACGACCGTCATACGTTGAAAGTTTAACACGAAACTTGCTTTCCTCCGGGGAAGATCAAGATAAACCATAAAAATATCGCAAGAGAAATGTTCAAAATATTGTGCATCATTCCGAAACTTTCTTCCAGACGCCACGGAGCCGTTCGATTCGCGTGATAGACATCTAAGAGATCCTTTCAAAGCGTTTACTGTCTATCCGAACGCGAACGTTCGCGGTGTGTCGAAAAAGTGTCTATCTTCGTCGCTCTAGATCGCGGTCGATCCTATTTCCTTATCGTTAAACTAGATTTTATAGTATTTATAGCGGACGGTAAAGCTCACGATCGACACAACAATGCGATTGATAAATAGTCCATACCAGAACCGTCAACCAATTAGAGTAACTCAGAGTTCCTTCTAGAAACTGACTTCCTAAGAAACTAATTTTCAAACGTAAATTGTAATTAGATGATCATCGATTATCCTATAGTTTTTACTGGATATTTTACTAATATCATTAATCATTGAATACCAATTCCCAAATGGATCGTTACTTGTTCGATGGTTCTAGTATGAAATTTTTCCATAGAAATTCAAAGAGTGCATCTATTAAGGTTCCAATTGATTTATAATTCAGTTCTTGTATTAATAAATCGATTTCTTTGTCCATTTCTCAGAGAATCCGATAGCTTATCAGTAATTATGAAAGAAGAATTCAGGGACGGTCATTTCGACTCGTTTGGTGGTTCCGGCGCGAAAGAGGATTAAATAACGCGAAAGGGAGATGAAACGCGTCGCAGCCGGTCAGTTTTTCCGTCCACGTCACGTCATCGGCCGTCTCTTCCCTGAACGCGGTCCAACGCGAAGTATGCGGGCGGCGGGGAATTATTAACCCTTAGCACTCCAGATGGTTTTGTAATTTATCGGCAACTGCAACTAATTTTTATGGTATCTCTAGTGAAAATGAAAAATGCTGTAACATTCCTTCTCAGTACGAAATTTGGATGTGTGGAAAATCGAATAATTTTGGGGTTAAAGCGTTAGAAAACAGCCTGCCTCAACGAAAACGTCGGAATTAACGTCACCAGATAACGGAGATGAGAGCGATTCGTCGAGTCCACCGAGTCGAATGTCGATCCTCTTATCAGATCGGCGATCGTGAATCTTTGATCACGGCCGAGCAACGTTGCCAGGCCGTTTCGAGAGTCGCCGTTAAGTATTTCCGCGACGAAGCGAGAAAAGAAAAGAATATAATTAACCGATTGACCCTTGAACCGGCAGTACGAAGCTATAGCCTGAAATTGAGGCGTTCAGAAGTTAATTCGATTTTTCCATATTTCCTGATTATTTTCAATTTCAATGGAATATATGATATTCTGTTCAGCTGTTCAAGGATTTACTCGTTTCTCCGTTTTTCCTAGAAAGTCCTAATTTTAATAGCTTCTGAAGATGTTGCATAATTACTTGAAGAGCCAAATGAATTTCCTTAGTTTTTCTTTTCTGTGCTTAACCGCATTGGAGAATAGTACTAGAAATTGAAAAGATACAGACGCTTTCCTGAGAAATTGACGGTAGATCAATAGCGATTAAAGTCGATCGATAGCGATCAGTAGATTAAATAAATCAGTGTGACGTTATCTGAGCAGAACCTTGATTACACTCTTGAAATTCATAGGAAAATACAAGACCGTTGAACCCAGTACGCTGTTCTTATTATTAGTACCCTCTGTTATACTGAAAGATCAGCACTCGATCAGTCAAAAATGAAAGCAAACATTGACTCGAATTAAAAAAAGCAAAACCAAGTGACTTAGGAATTACGTTGCGTGCCATTCGTACACGTGTGATTCTTCTAAGGAAGCATTTGTTGTAACACCAAAAGTTTCAACGTAAACCCGTTGATTCCTTGCAGTACAGAAAGTCAGCAGATAAATCTGAATTATATATCCATTACTTAAAATAATTGCAAAAAAAACTACTGACCTCTTGCCATCCCAACAACTAAATCATCCGTTCGCTCAGCGTTTCAAACATGAGAATTTCATCTCGCCATTCTCTCGACATTCGTCTGCAAAGGATTAATATTTCATTTAAAACATCAATGCACTTTGCGAGCGAGATATAACCGAAATCCCCGGTTGCACGGAATGCGTTGGAGCTCGTCGTTAACACGTTAAGCGCCATGTCAGCCACTGGTGACCGACGCTTCTGAATGACTAAAAAACAATCGTAACGTACAAGACAACCGATGTGAAATAAAAATGTTTAACAACGCAACTAAGTTGATAATAGCATAACGCGAACGTTGCAACGCTGAACAATTCATAAGTATTCCTACTTTTCTTTGCTACAAAAGACAAACTATGGGAAAACGCTTAAGATTTTCGTGGCGCTTAACGTGTTAACGCGAAAAGTCGATTGTTCACGTTGGCGTTCATAGGCGAACAAGAGGACGGCCTTGCCGGCGTGTACCTGAGCTCATCGTTCCTCTTTTCCCGGCTCATAAGCGACATTGATTTTGAGACGTGACGCAAGCACACGCGTAAACTCCGCGGCGGACGGCGTGGAAAAAAGAATTGCTCGTGCAACCGAAGAATTTCCGGACACGTGGGCGGAATATTTCTCCCCCACACGCGCGCCGTTCGCTGATCCTTAGGAGATACAACAGCTGGCAGTGATATAGCGTCGCGTTCGAGCGGATCCTCCTTTGCGCGCCGCTGGACGAGGCGTCACCTTTCCTGTAATCGCGATATCCTCCGTTGACCGTCCGGTCCGCAGCTCTCTTTATGGGCCCGTTGGGTCCCCTGCCTCGCTCTGCATCCTTGTAATTGAAGATCATCGCGTAGATTGCCGTGTAGATCCGGTAGGACTATAAACGAACGCTTCCTTCTTGGAATTCGGCTAGCTGGAGCCAGGAGCAGTAGTTTCCCAGTACCTCGATGATTCTCTGGAACCGGCTGAAAAAGGAAGCTAATTTAGAAGGTTGCTTAGTACACTCGATAGTCTACGCCATAACTAGGTTTTTTTCATTGTTCTAGACCAGTAGTCTGTTATAAGCCACTCAGGCTTGATAGCAGCGACAAAAACGTTAGTTCCTCTGCATTATCGTGCTTCCCTTTTTACGCTGGTTACAAGCAAATTCTTGAAACATCGAGTTCCTGTTCTCAGTAAGTCCCTATGAACGATCCACGGACTGAATAATGCTGAATCGTTTCAACGATCTTCGACGCACAGTGCAGCTATGGACGAACCTCTAAATTCCACTATGCATGACAAAAATTGAAGATTTTCATACGTTTAACACTATTTCTACCGAAGGTGTACAGGATACCTTTCAAAATTTCATAAAATTATTTTCCAGGAATAGTTTCATATTCTGAATCGACTCTGAGTTTTCTAATAACGATTATACAGTTAATAATTATCTTCAATCGAGGTGTTATTACACCGAGAAAACAATTATAAGCTAACATTTCAAAGAGTGTCCTTTGACAGCTTGAAAGATACTTTCAAAATTTCATAAAATTATTTTCCAAGTATAGTTTCATATTCTGAATCGTCTTTGACTTCTCTAATAACGATTATAGTTAACAATTATCTTCAATCGAGGTATCATTGCACAGAGAAAATTATACGCTAACATTTCAGTGTCCTTTGACAGCCTCGGCAGAAATAGTGTCACGTTATCGTGCTTCATCCGGAAAACGGCCGGTTGGCCGCGCTGTGCGTCGTTTCGCGCCTCGGAGACAAGGAAAGAGTAACGGCGAGCCGCCGCGCGAACCGATCGCGGATCAATGTGCGCCCGCGATCCGCGATCCGACAGGAGGTGAACGCCGTGCACCTGTCTAATTGCTCGGGCCTCGTGTCCCCTTTTCAGTTTCGCTTCTTCCAGTGAGGAGGGGAAAAATCGTGGCATAGTCGAAACCCTCCTCTATCGTTTTGCATGCATGGATCCCGGCTTGCACGAATTGCGGCGCGCACGATACCACACTCGGCATCCACCCACATACACACGCGAACACACCGTGTACCTGTTCTCCTGCACCAGCGACCGGCGTCTCTCACAGCGCACGTGTACTTGGGCGGCCGGCTGAGACCGATCGGTATCAGACATGACCAACGATAAACAGGTGAGTGCTTTCGGTGTGTACAGGTGACTTTCGGACTAGCCGATCGAATGCTCAGTTCTTTTACATGTCTCTCTCTCTCTCTCTCTCACACACACTTTCTGTCACTCACACTTTAGCTACTGGTATTGCCAGGTGGCTAACGTTCCCTTTGCCTCTAATCATTCGCGATACCGTTGACCGAGCGACACTGCTTTTGTCTTGACGTGCCTTTTTCAGAGAATGATGCACGCATACCGATTGTTTGCGTACCGTTTGCTGTCTTGGTACTTATAGTTTGGTCGACGTTACGTTTACTGCATGGCTCGTTGAATAGTTGTTTACTGTTCTACTTCGAAGCTTGAATGGTTCCAGTAAACATTCGATTGTCCCTAGAGGAATAGCGACGTCTAACGGACCGCGGTGATACTGCACGCGTTGGATAATATTTGGCAGTGATTACCAGAGGACCAATGATTGTGCTTAGTGTACCTTGGAAACGGAGGAGAATATCGTTTCACGAAGTACTCGATCGAATGGAATTCTGTTTCGATTGTCTCACGGGCATCGTCGCCGCTGCGAGCATGGAAAAGCGATGTGTAGCCGCGCACACGTATCCGTGACCCTAATTGCGATTAGCGTGCCGCGCGACGATTATTAGCGTCATGCCAGCCGTGGAACGCGATCGATTCGACGGAATTGTTTGATCGCGCGCGAACACCGCGAGCAAAGACCCCGTCGTGACAACAAAGCGGGCAAAAAGATCTCGAATTACGATCGCCGGGCACCGTTAACAGTATCGCCGATTTCTGTTTCCCCGTCGCGACGCCCGCTGGCGTTTATTAGAGTCCCCGCGAAAGCGGAGCGCAACAGTTGGCGAACGAAATCATAGATTCGATATGGAAAATCTGCATCGTACTCTACCGGTGTCTAAAAGTGAGAATATGATGAATTATGATTTTCACGCATTGCTGTCTACCGATGTCTAAAAGTGAGAATATGATGAATTGATTTTCACGCGATTATGGTTAGTGAAGTCTAAAGTCTATTAATAGGTAAGCGGACACAGTTAGAGATTGGATATGGAAAATCTGCGTGTCTGAAAGTGAGAATATGATAGATTATGATTTTCACGCTTTGTAGTCTATCAGTGTCTAAAAGTGAGAATATGATGAATTATGATTTTCACGCGATTATGGTCAGTGAAGTCTAAAGTCTATTAATAGGTAAGCGGAGGAGGTCATAGATTGGATATGGAAAATCTGCGTGTCTAAAAGTGAGAATATGATGAATTATGATTTTCATTCGTTTGTGGTTATTGCAGCTTATTAACAGATACGTAAATAAATTTCCAGAAACCTATCAATTCGGAATCAGCGTTTTCGAGCGTTATCGGTATCAGTCCAATCTGGCAATCTGCTCGCGAACGAACGATAACCGTTTCAACAATCGTTTTCCTTTCGGAACCGTTCCACGGTAACAACCACGTTCGATAATTAACAATCCCTAATTATATGTTAGGACAATTTCCGGTGAGATGGCCCAATCTCATTCAGATCGCCAAACGCCAAACTAGTTGAGTTTCTCAGATAAGTCGCTAAGACTTCTCAATAAGTCGCTCAGAGATCAATGCGATTAAATCGGTTCGATATTTCTTTATACACTCCATGGAACAAATAATACTCTCTTCACATATAGAACTTATAAAATCCCCTCGTATAACATCTAAATACGTACAACAATTCCAAAAGCCAAAACATGAATTTTCTCAATGTTTCTCTTCCCGACTCAACCGCAGTGGATTCTGAGCGACTCAGTCGATATGACGTAACAGTTGTTCCAATAAAAATGGGCCAGCTCTATCCGACTTAGCCTCACGCCCAGCAACATAACGCACAAGTCGCGAGCGAGAAGCAGGCAGCGCGCGCGCGAATGCTTCGGTCACGCTCGCTTTTGATCCACCACGCGCCCGCAGCTCGCCACCTTCCTCCGCTCGGACGAGACGACCGTATTTTTCTCGGACCCATTATCGCGAGAAAAAGTCGCATAATTTGATCTGTCTCGCCGCGCTACGCTGCCCCCGGCCGGGTTTGCGCGCATCACGCGCGACCAACTCGAAAGATTTCACATCGACCGCGATCAACGGTGTTTTTCCGCGGGCGCGTCGGCGTACGCGGAGCTTCGGGGAACGGCTGAAGGGTTTTCACGGTTTCAATGGACGACCGTCGATCGTTCGCGGTAATTTCGACGGTCTCGGACACGTCCGCGCGATACGCGGCATTACACTTTCGGCGGCTCCGTCCGTTGGAACTTTCTTCTTCACGGTTTCTGAGCCCGGTGAGAGTACCAGAAACGCATAAATATTTTCCGCTCGTGCTGTTGACCCTCCTTCATCTGTGTGTTATAGAAGAATTCGGATGATACCACGGTAATAAATGGAATACATTCGTGGTAATACTTATCGCTTGACAAATCTTTGTGGTTTATAGAAATGGAGGAATTCATGATTCTTAGATGGATTCTCTAATCTTGTCTTGTGACAATGTGTTAGACTGAAGATTGTCAATAGGATTTTAACTAGTTAAGTGTGGAATTTAGTTTGAAAAATCTCTCATTGTGCGCAGTAAAATCAAATAATGAAGTGTATATAAAAATTGTCTTCTTTGTCGCCGGAACTTTTTGCAAAGTTGTTCATTGAAGTGTACAAATATAAAATATAAAATTCATTACGACATAATAAACTTAGCTGCTTTTTTCATTAAGAGTTTTAAGATGACGTGTATACTCGTCAAACACACTTAACTGGTTAAGGATAAAGTATTAGTTGTACCGTTAGAGTGTCTCGGGAGCAATTGAAATTATTCTTAGAATAATACACTGGTCCATCTGAATCCGTACGAGCAGTATCACCTCGTTACTTGTCGCTTAATCGGAACCGCGTCGGGACAATGATCGAAGCACGTGTTTGGGAGATGAGTCATCGTATTCCGTGTTCCGAAGCTGAAATCAATTCGAGAAGCGTGAGAAGATGCTATAAACATTTATTCAACAAATGTTTTTATATTCTAGTCGACTACTTTTAAACCCTTAACATCAAAGAACCAAATGGCCGACGATTGTTCTGAGTACCGTCGAATAAACCGTGCAATAAATGCACGAAACCCAGTGTTAACTGTATAATACGTAAGAAAGGGAAATAAATAGCCCAAAGAATTAACGATTTGCAGCATGAGCATGGAAACTTAACACGCTCCGTGCCACTTGTACCATTTATGGAAAGAAGTAATAATAAAGAAAGAACAGAAATATAAAAATATATGAAGTCACAGAAATCTTCAACGTAACTTACTATTTCTACCAAAGGTGTCAAAGGTCACCTTCAAATCTCACTTAAAATTATTTCCTCAGTCTACTCAGTTTTCAATCGACTTTTGGACATTTCCTGTAATCTTACAATCATTACTGAAAAAGTCAGACAATTCAGAATATACTAATCTTGGAAACTAATTTAAAATTTCAAAAGGTGGCTTCCACACCTTCGGTAGAAATACTGTTAATCTATCATCTAAAAAATCATTGCACTTTCCAAGCAAGATATAGTCGAAATTTCCGGTGGCACGGAACGCGTTAACACGTTAAGCGCCATGTCAGTCACTGGTGACCGACGCTTCTGAATGACTAAAAAACGATCGTAATATACAAGACAATGTGAAATAAAAATGTTTAACGCAACTAAGTTGATAATAACATAACGCGAACGTTGCACCAAACAATTCATAATTATTCCTACTTTTCTCTGCTACAAAAGACAAACTCTATGGGAAAACGCTTAAGATTTTCGTGGCGCTTAACGTGTTAACGAATCGGTTAACCCAAGGTTACCTGTCGCACCCGGGGACTAGGCATAAGCGGGAGAGGACGGGAGTAAAAGAGAAAGAGAATCGTTGGGATTTTTCCAGTCGTGGTTCCGCGGAGTTCGCAGCAGCAAGTTCCGCCACGTGTTCGGCGTGCCGGCGAAGCGGGAGAGATGCTACGACAACGTGAAGATCACGAAGAACGCCCACGACTCGCAGTTCTGCGCGGTGAACCCGAAGTTCCTCGCCGTGGTGACCGAAGTCGCCGGCGGAGGAGCGTTCCTGGTGTTGCCGTTGGATCGCGTGAGTTATCTCCCACGATCGAGCCATCGATCCGCTTTACTCCTCGCGATAGACTCGCCTTATCAACGCTGTCGGTTTTATCGTGGACTCTGTAGGTATATCGAGTTGTACATCGACGCAAATAACTTGTTATCGCCTACTACCGCGGCCCATCTTCTTGCGCACGCGATCGTTAGGCTTCCTGCTACGAAACGTCGGGTGTTCAGAATTCCCTGCTCGAATTTTACGGTTCTTGGTTCTTCACTGTGGAACCTGCATCATTGTTTAATGGTAGATTCATGGAAATTTGAATTGATTCTTTAGGAACTATTTGGTATCAGTTTTAGTTGATTTCGACTCGTGAAGTTATGAAGATAAAAATTGTAGCTTCAAGATTCAAGTATTACGATCTGTATCTGTGATTTATGTAAATGAAGTAGTTTCCTAGCAGCGATAGGATAAAGTAGAAAAGTATAAAAATAAATAGAATGAAGTAGTTTAATTTAGATCACTCGTTCGAGGACATTTGAGGAATAGTGAAGTTGCATATAATATAATGATGGTATTGAATAGTAGGATTAAAGTCTTTTCTATGAAACTCAAACGAAAATATTACTCGAGATAGGTACTGGTCGATCGATCTCGCAGCGCTGGATCAGCAGAAATCGAATGGCAATGATATCCCGACGTTTCCTAGCGCACCGATAAAAAATGCTACTGTGTAACGGTACTCGTTTCGGTATTGTTCGCGGACGGATTGGAATTCTACGTGAACGTTATTAACGGTTCACGTGGTCCGTCTTTCAGACCGGGCGACTGGACTTCAACGCGAGCAGGGTCACCGGACATACCGGGCCAGTTCTGGATATCAAATGGAATCCATTCAACGATAATATCATCGCTTCCTGCTCCGACGATTGCACCGTATGATTGGGGATTGCTTATAGCCTTGCTCGGAACAGTTAGACCTAGTAACATGGTTTCCAATACTTTAATCAAACATTCACCTCGGCGTTTCCTTCCTGGGAGAAAATTATACCGGAGTCGCTCAAAGATAGCTTGACCTGGTCTCAGCTCGAGCACGGGTCAGGTTACTTCGGCACGCTAAAACTGATCAATCCCAGCTGGATCGTCCTAGAAACATGAAAGAGAACTATTACATTCATTTTTGACTTTCGGGTGAGAGCCGGCACTGCAACTGGCTTCATCAGGGGGCTAAAGGCACGCTGATACTGGTGTGTGTCTTGGAAGACTTTCTTTAAATGTGGATCCTGTTCATGTTCCGGATCGGTGGTTACCAATCATTCTTAATTGGTCAGCTGGACAATTAAAAAAGGAGGAGGGAGTGCCAAATGGGGTTCAATTGATATCCTGTGTCCCTGTTGATGTTAGGGTGTTTCAGGATTTCAATAGATTCCCTATATTTGCGTGGGAAGTAGTCCTTGCACCTGGTCAGGATCTTGACCTCTTCGAACTGCCAAAAATGAATGTAATAATATTCCAGGCCGTGAAAGCATGAAGGCTACTATGAAAGAGAACCTTCAGTGATCGCCAGGAACTAACGTCCAACTGTTTCGAGCAGTGATTCGTTCCCTGGTTGATTTGTTCATCGTTTTAGAAACTCTCTTTGATACCAGATCAAACTCTGGCACATTCCCGACGGTGGCCTCTCCCGAAACCTGACCGACTGGCTGGTAGAGCTTCAGGGACACAAGCGTCGCGTCGCCTACATAGAATGGCATCCGGTAGCGGAGAACGTGCTCTTCAGCGCAGGTTTCGATCACCTGGTGATCGTCTGGGACATAACCAGGGGCGAGGCGGTCAACGTGATCAACAGGCATCCAGATGTGATCTACAGCATCTCGTTGAACCGCGACGGCAGCTTGCTGGCGACCACGTGTAAGGACAAGAAGCTCAGGGTGTTCGAACCGCGGTCTGGCATTGTGGTCTCGGTAATTGTTCATAGGATTACCCGTCTTCAAGCTTGAAACACGGTTCTCGCCAGAATTAACTCCTTGCGGACGAAGATTCTTTCAAGTGGAAAACCTGCAGATTTTGTCGAATTACCTATGGAATTTTCAATCCTTAACACGTTAAGCACCATGTCACCGGTGACTGACGCTTCTGAATGATTAGAAAATAATTGTAAGATAACCAATTTGAAATGAAAATGTTTAATAACGTAACTAAGTTGATAATAGTGTAATGCAGACATTGTAGCGTTAAATAATTAATATTGTTCCTTGTCTTTGCTACAGAAGAAAAAACTCTACAGGAAGATGTTTAAGGTTTTCGTGTTAACGTGTTGACGGACCAGAGAATTTCAAGTTTACCGCAAAGGGTTAATAAACGATTATACACTGAATCGGCAAAGATTTTAACAGAAATGTACCTTCGCTAAGTTTGTGAGTTACAACAGTTGCGAGAAGTTCGAGCTTCTGATGCCGCGGTTATGCTTCAGGAAGGAGACTGCCACGCCGGGACCAAAGCTAGCAAAGTAGTTTTCCTCGGTGATTCGGGCCGCCTTCTGACCACCGGTTTCAGCCGGCACTCCGACAGACAGTACGCGATTTGGAGCCAGCACGACCTGACCGTGCCATTGACTTGCGAGACCATCGACTCCTCGAGCGGGGTCGTGTTTCCGTACTATGACAACGACACTAACATGGTGTATCTAGCGGGCAAGGTGAATACCTGGACGAGATTTAAACAAGTCATCCATTAAGAAAAGAAATGCTACAAGTCTCCTCATCATTTAAAATCAGACATTTCATAAGTTACAACCTAATAATACATGTGCATAGGATACCACGTCATCTTCAATCATTCAGCCCATGATATCTATATAAAATTCAATAGTTCAGTTCAAAATCTTTTCTTATTTACACGCGTTTTCTGCTAACTAATGATATTAGAGTTATTAGAGATATTGTACTAGATTGTACGTATTTAATATAATAATATATATTCAATATTTATTGATAACTAGATCATAATCCTCTCAAAATACTTAATTCCAGGGCGACGGCAACATCAGGTACTACGAAGTGGTGAACGAGGCTCCCTGGATGCACTATCTCAGCCAGTTCATCTCAGGCAATCCGCAGAGGGGACTGGGCGTGATGCCTAAGAGAGGCGTGAACACCTCGATCTGCGAGGTGTTCAGGTTCTACAAGCTGCACGCGACCCGCGGCCTCTGCGAGCCTATCTCGATGATAGTCCCGCGAAAGGTGAGCTTGATCTTTTTCGACTAGGCCGATCCGGCTGGACTGGCTTCGATCGAATTGTAAACTTTCACTTTCGCTGTCAGAGCGACCAATTCCAGGAGGACCTGTACCCGGACACCATCGGCACCTGTCCCGCTCTGTCGGCCAGGGACTGGATCAGCGGCATGAACAGCCCGCCGATTTTAATCTCCCTGAAAACCGGTAAGACCAATCAACTTTTATTCGACGAACGAACGTTTCACTTCTCTCTGCCCTTACCTTCCGCGCGTTTAATTAATGGGCATGACAGCCGGATCATTTCCGACCCACGATTAAGTATATCGTCCACGCGTTGCGGACTAATTTACTTTCTACTCTGCTTTGAATTTCTCGGCTCGACGTTTCATGGAGACTGATAATATTGATTATTAACCCGAAGCTGTGATCAGTCACCGGTTGATTCTATACAGTAGAATTACAAAGTCGTCTGTTTCTTATTAGAAAGAGTTGATTCTAGCGAACTTTCGGGGTTCGATTCTATTTAACACGTTGAATGCCATGGGGTCACCGGTGATACCAACTAAATAATCACTATGGTTTACTCAATGAGACAATGATGATTTGAAGACATTTCTATATTGTAAACAATGCTACTTAACGCGGTGACGTTTAGTTAGATGAACGTGCAGTAATAACAATGAAATTCAATGGATTAAATATCATACTTTTCCCATTGCGACTATTTTGCTGTATGAAACCGTGCAGCATTCAGCGTGTTAATGATACAGTGACATGTTAATTAGGAGGTAGCATCACAACGCACAAGCCCCGCGTTTACAAGCCATCGCAGCCGGCCGCCACCGACCTCAACAACAAGAAGAAATTCGCGTTCCTGTCCACGGAGACCGTGCCGGACTACAGGCCGATCGAGTTCCACGAGATAACGGAGAAAAGCCAGAAAACCTCGAGCAACCAGAGCACCAAGTTCCAACAGCTGCAACAGAAGTTCGGCAGCGCTGTGCTACAGGTACCGTCACCTGTTGACTTCTGGAGGATCTCGCCGCCAGGCTGCGGATTTGCCTGAAATTCTGAGATGTACATTCCTCGCTGCGGGCTTCGCGATCGCGATAGTAATGTGAAAACTATTTTGAATTTCAGAGAAATCTGCGGTCGTTCTTTAGAATCGCGTTGCAACTTTCGAGACACGTCGCGAATCTGGGCATCTCTGTCTTTCGAATTTTTAAACTTAAACGTTCTCAGTTAACAATGCTTCAATGTGAACTTTCAAATGTGAACATTAAGATAGATCTTCCCAGCTCCGCGTCGCGAGGAGAATATTCTAAGATCTGAGATCCTTATTTCTAACTGTTAACATTTTACCCACAGAAGAACAATAACATCATCACTCCTCCACCCGACAACAAGGTCTTGGAGATCGTAGACATTCCCAACAACGAGGCCGAGCTGAGACTGGCGTTCGTTCGTCAAACCGACGAGCTGAGACTGGTGCGACGACAGCTAGCCAACAGTCAGCTGCGAGTCAAAGAGCTGGAGGAGCAAGTACGCAAGCTTCAGCTGCGTCAATAAAGCTCTGCGGTGCGCGTCCACTCTTGAAACGCTTCGCTCTTGGAACTGACCCCTTAACCATCTAAATTGTTTTCAGTGAAACGTGTTTGTTAGTAGACAGTAGGAAAGGTGAAAGAACCATGAGGAATAATTTACAATAAGTCGGGAGTACCTTGCATTATGTGGAAGGATTCAGCATTTTGGAAACGGTTCCTAAATTTCATTCAACGGTTAAGGGGTTAAACCGGAGGAAGCGGAACGAAGGTCAGGTTCACCGTCGAGTGGAAACGCTGTTTCAAATCTTCGCTTCGGAAATATCTCTTGTAGCTTGGTTGCTAGTTGCACGAGAGACACGGTACTTAACGGACAAGAGACGTGGTGCGGAGCTTTCGAGCCGGTTGTCCGAAGGATTATGGTGCACGAGAGACTTCTTGCGTGTCGTCTTCGCAAGATAAGATGGAGAAACCGTGGTTCGACTCTCTAGATACTGTGGCTCGCGTATTTGTTCACGTAACAATCTGTAACAATCATGGAACGCGACATTACCATACGTTTGTTTCTTCAGTACGCGAAAGCTTCATCTTTTTACATCCTTTGTCATAGAATAATACAAAGTAACGTAGAGGTTTCCTTGTTTTCTCAGAAAATGAAGTTGAATAGAGTTGTCTTCGTTTGATCGTGAAGTTTGCTGTTCGCTATGGAATTTGACCAAGGAAAAATGGACTGTTTCATGAACAAATGTTGCGAGTTCCTGCTAGACACTTGCTGTACGGACGAGCAACTCGGTCGTTCGAGTTTAGACAATTTTCCAGTGACTTTCCCGTCTTTCTGTCTTCAGCCTCTTTCCTACCTTTGTACGGTCTTGCTACAACTTTTCAAGGCGCAGCGATGAAGCAACAATAATTTAGTCAATTTCCGTCTCTGAACACGTTCGACGTAGAGATGCTGGAACACAGATGAGATGATTGTGATTCAACACTATTGCCTTCATTGTACAGACGAGTTTTTGTCTGTGTGTTAGCTTGATGTTTCTCTAGTTTCTGTGTTTCGTAGACTCACCGGCCATTGTTGTCGTTCGTTTCCCTCTAAATTCGAGTCGTTCATTTCCGTCGTTCAAATCTCCAGGATCCAACCTCGTCCCGTTTTCTACTTTACGAATGATCAGACTGGCAGACAATGCGCGCGTTAAGAGAAAGATCAATCTGATATATAGACACGAAACCTCGGGGAAGTATTAATGGTTCAGTACACGGAGAATCGTACCTGTCTTGTGCGTATGCACGTTTATCGTACGCGGTTTCACCTGTACAGAACGTTCCGAAGCGCGCGGCTGGCACGCTGTACACGCTCGATGGAACACGTGAAACGAAACGGTCACCCAATTAATTAAATCAAGTCGACGTATTTAAAAAGAAAAACTTGAGACCATCATCCTCGACGCTGGTCGTACCGCACGAACAACGACGCAGCGGAATAGAAAATTTCGTGCAGATCATTAAGGTTTTTTAATCGTACCGATCGTTTTGTGGCGTAACAGGTTTCTCTAAAAATGAAAATTTCATCGTGGACTCGCGAATTCCAACCGGAGCGGACGGCGCCCGCGATGACGAAGGTGTTTCCCTTAATTAAGTTGATCGGCGAGCCTCGAAGATCGGCCTGTACAGCCTGCGCCCGTGACTTCACAGAAACGCTGGACAGAGTTCCGTTACGTAGAGTGATAGATAAACGCAGAACGTCTAGAAATCGCGGGAAGGATTGTAAAAAGCGGAAAGATAGATGCAATAAACATCCGGCGAACGAAAACGGAGTGCACGAGATGCAAAGAATTTAAATGATAACGGTCAGCAACGTACAATATAAGATGCCCCGCGAACTTATCTTTGCAAGATACTTGATGCAATAACTCTCGATGCATTTACGCAATATTAATATTAACGGATTAATATTCTATTGATTGATTTTAAGTTTCTCGGTCGATCGGCGAATATTCTATTTATTGCGTAGGTTTACCTTCACCACGAGTCGACGACCGACTTCAACTTCTGTAGTCAATCGCGGTAGCGCCTCTCCGATTGTCCTGCTGATTGTTCGTGCTCTTCGTTTCGTCACTGTTTCCCTCTTTTCGAGGAACTGGCAAAAATTGCAGTTTCAACGATTACAATTGTAGCGAACATTCGGATCGAGTTTCGGAATAACGATTCCGCGCGAACTCGTGGAGTCTTATTAGAATTTACTGATAAGATCGCGTAACGGAATAGTTTAATATCGAGTACAGTATTACCTCGGTACGAGCTGCTAGTCGATCCTAAACCGTGAACTTATAGCGAGGCAGTACTGCACTTCTGACTGAAAAGAGAAGAGGAGACAGTGAGCGAATCGAACGCGGTTGGACAGTGTTCAATTCCCAAATATACTCCCTCGATAGTAGTCGCGACGGAGACCCAAGCTGTGGACAATTACAGGGGCAGCACCGCGAATAAATGTCCTGAATGGCTGTACATTAATTTATGTAATATTTAATTCTCTTCGTTACGCGTAAGATAGGGAAGTTTTAGTTGATTAACGCACGGTTAAGCTAACGGTCAAGCGTGTTTATCACTGCCACGCCCACTGCCATGATCCAAGTGTGGCAATGTCATTTTGTTTCTTTCCATTGTTTTCTAGGGAACGCATGGCAGTGACGATATTTTCTATACTGCGATTCATTTCTGTCATTGAACATGTTCTTTTCCTGTACGCTAGAATAAAGAGTGCAAACGTGCACAATGGAAATCGCAGACACAATGGTGGATGATGGACATTAAGGTTTTTCTTTCCTTGTTTTGGGGCCTGAAAACAAAAACAGGGATTTTTGGAACTAAAGCACGTTTTGATCCGTAATTTTGCGCATACGTTTGTATATGCTGGAGGAAGAGCCGTGAGTTTTTATATTAACAAAAGATTGATATTAAACATGTTACGAGCTGCAAAGTGAGCCTTTAAAAACTATTGATCACCTGACACGCAATTTTACAGTGTAAGACACAATTACGAGTTTACTTAAACAACGGTTGATGTTATGGACAAAATCACCACCCACCTTTCACCTCGTAACCTCGTTAATGTTAAATCCTGTTCAATATAAAAATTCACGTGTCTTCCTTAAAGTTTTACTGACGTATAGATAAAGTTGCAGGTAAAAATACTTTATAGTTTCTTGGGTAAAAGGAAGTGGAATGTCACCTATCTTTGATCCCCCTGAAAAACAAAACAAATGACAAAAAAAATATTGTTGTAGGCATACTTGAGAAATAAAAAACAAATGAACAGAGATGCGCAATTTTGGTTATACGGTCAGCTATACTTATACTACGAAATAACGCCGATATGTGTGTGTGTCAAATTAAACCTTGTCTAGGACCAACAAACGGAAGATTGTTAGTCACAAAAAAGATTCTATTACCGCTTGGTAGTGATCAAATTAAGTAATGGTTTATACACTGTTTATATATATATATACATATATGTATTTTTCATACGACATATACAGTTGTAATTTCAACCGATAAATATATATATATAAAATCTGAGCAGAACTCCTTACTAATTAATATATGTGTAATTGCGTGCTTCGAAATTAGTCATTCGCAGATAGAAACAAAGACAAGAACGACACATCCATCTACTTAGTTTATCAGTGTATACTAACTTTCGTTTCCGATGATGCTTGTAGCATGATGGAAATGTGTTTTCAAAATTTCTGTCAAATTCTTAAAATCATTCATGAATATTTCGTCGAGACGGATTATTTTGAAGACGGTTTTACAGTACTCGAAAATATGGATTTCTGTCGGTTGTCGTAATATCATTAATATTAATATAATTGTATAACATTTCATGGTAATCTAAGTCTCTTATCACGCTTCGCTTGCGTACTGTGTAACTAAAATTCACGTATGAACATGTTTCCATCATGGCCATCGCCGGCGTCGCTTCGGCGAGGCGAACATTTTTGCTTTGGGTCGGTGAACGCGTGTGTATCTGCCGCAGAGTGCTAGCCCTGTATACTTGTTCACTGTATAAACGAATATATTACATAATATACCAAAGAGCGTCGTTGTGCGAGTACCTCGCCGTGAAATGAAATTTGTTACTAGGCAGTTGAACGACTATCATATATATTATATTTATATGCAGAGAAATGAACTAATATGTAAGACTAAACAGGGATCTCGTTCGTGAATAAAGAACAAAGCATTCATTCCCATTCACGTTGTTTCATGGTTCACACGAGAGAATGATACACTTTTTCTTTTTCTTTTTATTTCACTCATACCACTCGCACTCATACGTTTGGAGAAGCGTTCGCTAATTTATAACCTATTCATAGAGTCGTAACGTGTACAGTGACATGTACTTTGTACAAAATGATGCAAAAGCAAACGATATAAATCTATCTTCATATATATATATATATTAAAAAAAAAGGAGAAATAAAAAATAGTTTTGTATAAGTTCTCGAAAATTCCACGCGACAATTCGACTTTAAGAGTACATATGCATGTGTAACCTATACACTAATTAAGCACTTACATTGATCCGCTAAAGCTTATCGTTTAAGTTGTTTTGGTTGACGGTGTTCAACACACGATGGACGGAATTTACTTATCTTAAAGGTTAATTTCAGGTTAACTTTCAGCCGATAAGGTAAAGTCAATGTAATTTCTCCGTATTTATCTATATTTTTGGAATTCATTTCAGGAATGAGTAGCGATATTCCAATGAATATCTCAAGATCAGCGTGTATTTTACCTTACTGATAAATGACTGAACGTTACCTGCGAAATTTCGCGGGAAATATTAAATTGGTCCCATGAACTTTCGTTCGGCGTTACTGTCTACCTCTGGAAGAATAACTTATAAGCTACTAAGAGCCCAGTCGGTAACATCCACGCGATGGTTGGCCTGAAAGTGGATGCCGGATTGCATCCATCCCCGGTGCAGGTGAAAATGCAGGTGCGATACGTTAATTTGTCTCCTTGTCGATTCACGTAGTCGCAATAGTTCCCCATATCCGCTGAAGAACAGAACCGTTTCGTACCTATTCCACCTATAGCAACAAAAAAGGGAAACATGTTTTATCTCTTGCACCAGAAAGTTGTCTGTAGTCAAACTAGTCAAAGGATACAATTAGTTATAAACAATGGAAGCGTGTGCGAAGCAAACTAACATGGAGTGCGGTTTAAATTTCTACCAGATTATTCGTAGAATATTTTGAGAAAAAATAGAATCATTAGAATTCATAATCTTTACCAAACTGCTTTACCGACGGAAATATCGAGCATGGTAAAAATAAATAAATCAAGGAAAAGCTAATGATGCACACTCCACACCAAGAAGTTTCAAACTACACGATAAAAACCTCCATATTCTCCGACTGATTTGATGCAATAACGTGCATTGTAAACGTGACTGCAATTCGATGGTTTCAATGTACTCGATACCAACTTGTCGTCTCCGCAGACCAGTTCTCCTTCCGATGTGCACTGATAGCAATCCAGACTTGTCGCTTGATTAATTCAGAAAGCATTGGTTAAACATTCTTTTGTTATGCATATGAATCATGAGCTTGCTTAATTCTAGGATTACATCTTAGATTAGCATTAATTACATAACGGGAAAATGAGACTGGCAGACTGCAGAATTTCCTGTCGGTAATGAGGATCTAACGGTTAGTTTCCAATTTTCCCGCCAAAAACCACCATAGTACGTTGTAATTATTATGACTCACTATGCAAGCACGATTTGAAATGTATTTGGCGTTTAAAGGTCAAATTAAATTGAATCATGAGCTTGCTTAATTCTAGGATTACATCTTAAATTAATATTAATTACATAACGGAAAAATAAGATTGATAGATTACAGAATGTCCTGTCGGTAATGAAGACCTAACGGTTAGTTTCCAATTTTCCCGCCAAAAACCACCACAGTACATTGTAATTATGACCCACTATGCAAGCACGATTTGAAATGTATTCGGCGCTTAATGGTTAAATTAAATTGATGTAATTAACCGGACATGCTTCGATTGTTCCTATTCACATGCTGGAATGAATACGTGAATCTAGATGATCATACAGTCTAACGTTAGTCTGATATTCTGAGGTGTTAAGTTCTTCCAAACCCGTGCCACGTAATTTGATTTGCCGATATTATTTTACCCTCGAATCGACCGGTGTGTTTTACACAGTACTGCGCCCCGAAAACACTATCGCATGGCTCCGGTTTGATATCGATGTCGTCCGAGAGAAATTCGTTGCATTGGAACGGGTGCGTGTTGTTTGTACTGTTGCACTGATAGCATCGAAGACTGTCGCCTGAACGAAAACAACGCGTCAAATCACAGGATCTAAATTACTTTCCCAGTAAATTGTTGCTTCTTATCGGGCATTACAGATTATAAACGCATTACCTTACGCGCATTAAGTTTCTAAAATTACGTATACAAATAGCACGATCAACATCTGGCGGGTGCTACGCCACTGCGGACATGTCAAAAACATGCACGATATCATCTAATGTGCTCGCAAGACAGGCAACTTATCATCGTAGAAAACAGTTGACTTTAACTTACGAACTGACCTACATACTGCCTTCTTTCCTCATCAATTTCAATTAATCTGTTATTTCCTTGCATTGCAATTGTTTCCGAGATCTCGTTATTTAACCGTTAATATATCCAGCACGTTTGATACCGATACGTGACTCATCTGGTGTATTCATTCGCGATGCTTCACGTGAAATATCTTATTACTGTCGTGCGTTTAGAAAAGAGATACAAACATTTTACTGAATTTGTTTACTATGCGTTAACTGGGTTCCGAATGCGCGCGTAGAAAAATAAACGTTGCAAAGTCGAGGAACTGCTGACAGAAAAATTCTAATGGTGGCGACAATTAATATTCTACATTAGAAATTCGACGCGAGTTCAAACGTGAAATGAGAAAATAATAAATGCCCCGCCCAAAGGACGCCGCGTTGTTCGTGTCGTTTAGCTGCGTGCATTAATCTTACCACGTTCGATGAAAAGGAGGAATGCCGCGAAAACTGCAATGCACCCGATGCCACGGTTGGCGCCCATTTCGAACAGTTCTATTCGCTGCAGGCCGCCGATGAGGTATCTCTATGGACGGGACGCGGGTGTTGCATTTAATTGTTTAAATACTTACACGGCCGCGGCACTGTGCAATGATAGCCTCGGCACGAATTTCACGTAAACAGAAGTGAGAGTTATGGCGACGCGAACGCAACTGACCAAGAGAGAAGGGATCGGGAATGCACGAGTCGCGGTCGTGTCGCTCCGACCGCGAACGGAAACGCCCGAAGTGGTTCAAAATGATCCAGAATCGATACGCGCCAAAATTCGAAATAATCGTTCCCCCGGAGTGTTCATTATATATTATTTATTTGTCTTCATCTTACATAAACAATATAGCAGTTCTTGGAATTTATACATACACGGTATATGTAACATGTATACGCGCGTGTATACACATGAGAATGTAAATACAATGGAGGGATGCACTGTGATTTGAAATAAGTTCAATGACAGAGATGTTCAGAGGCGACATATAAATCACGTTACGCAAACTTAATGATCTCGAATTTGATAAATTTCTGAATGCGAAACAAAAGAATATATTTCATAGTGTTAACGATGTAGATTTGTTCTTATGCCTGGCGTTCTAATTAGATACTTATAACTATAATTTCCATGTACAACGTAGATTTCCGACACTTAATGTAATCGTCTAAAAAAACTTGTAAAGCTGCAACCAGTATTGCTAACGCGCGGCATCGCTACTTATGTACCTAATACATTTTATAAATTTAATTTAGAATTTTATTTGGACACTCGTTACTCATCAGGCTCTCTATCGTTATGCTGCCTTTGTTCGCGTCGTTCGACTTGGAAGACTTCAGTTTCCTCTGTTCTACGCTACGACCGTGTTTTTTGATAGGTTTACAGGTATCTTTTGCGTTCTGCTTGTCACGTAAAAACAAAGATTTCGTCGGCGGCTTCGCAGTGTCCGATGCGTTGTTGGACGATTCCCCGATTTCCGTTCGAACCTTGCTCGTCCTCGTCGAAACGACTTTCAGCCTCTTCGCTCCGTGCTTGACGATCGCCGTTTCCTCGGAAGACAGCGTCATTTTCGACAGTTTGTTCGAGGCTGGAACCTTCTTGCACTCCCTTCCTTGTAATCCTAAAGAATCGTTGGCGGCTCCAAAATTCGAACGTTTCAGCCGACCTTCCGGATCCTTTAACAACGGTTTAACGACACCATCCGATCTAATCGCAGAGATTTTAGGATTATTCTCAACGTTATTGACGCACTGATTTTTTAACGGCCTACGAGCTACGGTCTGCCGACATTTCTTGTTACTTTTGATTCGTTTCACTGCTGTGTAAAACGACGTCGTCCGACGAATGATACATGACTTTTTTGCGAGATTCGGCTCACTCTTCATCGAGCTCTTCGCCCCTAGTGATGTGTCGTTTATCTGACACTCGATCCCCTTTAAATTGTAAGAATCTTGGGACATAATACCGTTATCATCCTGTGAATAAAATGCGTTATAGGTTTTTAGAATTTCCATGTTTGTCTGCTTCTGTTCAGAGCCAGACCATTGTGAGAGAGAGATTAATTCCTTTCTATAGATCTATAGATTTGTAATATCGCTTGCTCTTTCTATCGCTTTTTGGCAAAAATGAGAGTTTGATATGTTAAAAACACGTAGGTAAATGGTTCTACACTTGATGCAACAGTAGGACTAAGGGATTAAGGGGAGTAAAATAAAAAATAAGGGAAATAAATTATCGCTAAAAATACTGTACATTTATTAAAACAATGGGACATGTATGTGTGTTCATATGTGTGCACTTGTACAAGTGTATGTTATAACAGGATACATTGCAAAAATTCTATACATGAATTTGTACATAATATCGTTTTCAATTAATAACATTTTCATATATATATACATATATGTGTATGTATATGTATATATATAATACTATATATATATATATATATTTATATATAGTGAACAACATGACAATAAATACTCTATTATTTTATGACCATAATTTTCAAGGGTTTACTGATGCATTATTTTTACCGATTTCAATAATAATTCTATGTAATGGTAGAACACACATTCGTACTTTGTTTGCAACAGACACATATACTTGATATTTCTCTTAAACACTTAAGAGGTATATAAAACATTCCATTTCATTATTTTGTGTAAAATATCTAAAAAATCCATAATTATTGTCATTCATTTAATTATTGACGAAAGGAAGAGAAATTTCTATGAACTTCAACATGAAACCCTGATTTGGAAATCTGCACATCTTTTGTGAAAACACTCCATCACCCAGAGATATATGGTTCAATCGTCTAAACCACTATTTTTTGCACTTCGCTAAAGAAATAGACATTATTAATTACACATGTGTGTATTCTTTGTTATCACTCACAACCGTGAAACAATTTTTATGTGCATGTGACACTACTTTAAGTGCACTTATTCTCACCAAAGTTACAGTGCATTAATGTTTACCAACAGAAAAAAAAATAATACACTTTTAACGATAAGTATAAGCATTAGCAGAGAGTATTCAATACTCAATTAGTTCTAGTGCAAAAAGATATAAAATTTTACAGTCTTTACAATTATATAATAATATTGCATTGTAAAAGAAGTTATGCAATAAAAACATTGCATATGCGTAATATATCCTTGTTAATACAATAAATACGGCTAAGTTCTGCTTTCTTTATACAGTTTGTAATTACGATTAAATTATTCAATAGCTCTACATAAAACGAATAGACAAACAGTTTTTTCACAAACCTTTATGTAAAAATATATCAAATATTATTGTCATGCATACATATATATTAGATGGAAGACCCATTAGTTTGACATATTCAAAATCGTACAAAATCCACAATAATCACATATTCAAAAAGGAATATAAACCTTACAAGTCATAAAATTCAACATGAAAAATTTTCATTTACAGTATTGCAACATTATAAAACGTGAATATGTCTTTTCTATAATAACAAATGTATAATTCAATGCCATTAAAGTAAAATAATATACAATTTAAATGTATACAAAATCTCTCTCCCACATTTTTAATTAAGAAAGTAAAATGCGTCTACTTAGGTACTAATGTGTCTTGATAAATTAATGTACAGAAGCATATCAATTTAGTGGTATTATAAATTAAGATAGTACACACTGTCTGATATCAACAGCTGAAATTTCACTTTCATTATTGACATTAAAATTTACCTTATGCAGAGGCTTGCCGAATGGCGTTGAAACATTGTTCACATATGCTAATTTTAAATAAGACTTTACACCCCTTAAAGTACGATACTGACTATTTGGCAGTCGACTGTTAGGATTATTACTCGTAAGATCGAGGATTGAAGGACCTAATGCTGCTCCCACCTGCGAGTAGAATTTAGTACAGGATTATTTATCTGATTATTTAATATTATGCTCAAGATGAAAATGTGGTAAAGTGTATCACCGCTTCGAAAACTCCTGGCGTATATTTCGGTGGAACAAAAATGGGAGGCACATTCTTGTTAACTCCGTCACGAACTCTTGTAGGTATTGTATTTACTATGCGACCAGAATTGTAATTGCATTCAAGGGTATAACTACGTATCAGACCAGTTAATTTATATACAGCCACTCGCCCCGATCCTTCCCTCGACATTCCGTCTCTCTTGTCTCTGTATAAACGGAACGTATTACAATATAAGGGATGTTCATGTTCACACGAAAATACCGTTGACGAGACTTACATAATGTACATATTTCTTTCTGTAAAATTGCACGAAGTGAAATGAAAATTTGGATTATTAATTGACATCAATTTTGGCAGAAGCATGCACGATATTGTATCTTCTGCGGTATCAAAATAGTTGCCATACATAAATACTCCTTTTTTAGATGCATGACCATGAAGATCAACATATAAATACAATCCAGAATCGTCTTTGGGTACTTGTCCTACCCCAATAGCAGAATATATCGTTTTATCTGATTTAATTTCTACAGAATTATCACTTTCTTCTGTACTATTACACAGACCTTCTCCCCCACCTTCATATAATTTTGCATAAGTAAGTAAAAGAATGTTTGTATCATATTCAATAATACAATTCTAAATTCATACCGTGAGGCATGTCATCCAAGCTGTGTGCTCTAGGTAATGTGCGTTCCTGAAAAATTTCCGGTTTATCTTTATGACGTTTTTCGTCTAATGTCATAAGTGTTACCTATCGTTAAAATTACTGGTTAGTGACAATTTTCTTGCCATTTTGGAAAAACGTGTGAATTAGTAAGTACATGTTAGTGTCTACATGCTCAGAAGTAGAATCATAGAGTAGTAAGTGTTCCCTGATTAGAATTACCTGTTGCAATAATCTAGTTGTCGTATCACGTACTATACTTGCAATTCCACAAGTGGAATCAATAATATTTTCTCCATTTTCAAAACTTACGCTTGAAATATCATCTTCTTTTGGCAATTGGTACGTGTAATGATAATACCTTGAACACGATGTTTCTATTAGAATTCTTTTATTAAAGATAAGGCTGTTTCATTTATTACCTTATTAAATTCCTTGCAGCATATATCGTTGGATGTTCTTTTATAGAAGGATTAAGATAGACTCTATTGAGATTAACCCCTCTAGTGTCCATTCTATAGTGACCTCTAGCAACACCATCAGGATTGAGCATTGGTATTAATTTGAACACATATAGGCGGCGGAGATTGATTGCTATTTGGTCATCACGGTTTAGAAGAAAATTAAGAAAACCATTGAAGACAAAACTAGATGGTGTTTCTCCTGGATGGACCCTTGCACTAACAAATATTATCTAAAACATGTACTTTACTTGAGTAACAACTTCATATCAATAACTATATTTCTGTTGAAAATCTAAAAAGAAATAGATGTACCTTTTTATTCCAAAATTTGAAAGGTCTTTCCTCGTGTTTCTCGGGGAACATATTACTCAGTCTGTCTTCTCTCTCTGTTGATATGTAATGAAATGAACTAATTGTAATAACATCTAATCTCCTTCCCTCTAAAGATTTTATTGCACATTCTCTATGATAATAAACGTCATCTGCACATGTTATAGTTCTCTTTGCTATTCTAGCTTCAACCCTTCTTAAATAATTTTGGAGATCAGTATAAGAGAAAGGATAAGTGAATGCCAAATATGTAATAGCTTTCATGTTTTCAGGGGTACAATAAAGGAATGACAATGTAAAATCACTGCCTTTTTGATCCACCTGAAATATTCAAAGTTTTCCTTATACATTATTCTAATACCATGGAAAAGATGGTTATTAAATCATATTTAACTTTACACTGTAAGTCGGTCTTTCACGAATTCTTTCCCAATGCAAGTGACCAGGTATAACTTTAAAAACTGGACACATTCCTTGGCTGAACATTTTCACTTGTTTATTCAGGTTGATTATATTAAATTTAACATACACTCCTGGGGTACAAGCTTTGAAGCCAAAATAAAACCATGTTCTATTGCTGTTTTGAAATTGCGTTCCATGGCAATCGTGTTTTGTCCATATGTTAAATTCATAATCAATAGAGTCATCCGAGGTCAAACTTTTACATGATTTATTTTCAATTTCGACTCCATCTGAAGTTCAATAAATATTATGTCATTGTTACTAGAGTGCTGATATATGTATACATATATATATCTATATATCTATATATACATATATATACATACATATATTGAAAAATATAGGTCAAGGGGAAATGCAACATTACCCTTTTCAGATGTTTCTGGCACTTTGACCAGCTCAACTCTAGCTAAATTGGCTGAATCGAAGTTATTATAAAAGACAAAGCCTCCACAAGTGACAGGGTCGGTTGCATTTGCCATGATGTGTCAAAGGTTATAAGGTTGTCTGTAAAATACTGGTATGAAATGCTTTCACGCCTGTTGGAAGAACATGATGCTTTTGAAAGTAGAAAACTTTGTATTATTCGTATTCTCACTTTCTCCGTTACCAAGCTCAATTTTCCCCGTTCGTAGCGTTACTCTCATATTAAAAGGGTCATGGTTTGACAGTTATCTTGAAATCGAGACGATTTCTAGTTAGTCTGCGGTTCACGCTATGAAACGAATTAATGCACCTCGGAATCAAGTCGAATGTGACTTTTACGGGTAACTCTCACTCAAATAATATACGATAAATTCAGTCCTCCTAATAATTCCACTAGCACCATTGTTACTGCTAATGCAAACATGTTTGCGAGTTCATCAGAGCTATCCAACCGATCTACGATTATGACAGAATAACGAGTGTCACTATTTGTCAACTGTTTGAGATCCTTTTCTCGGTGTGTTTACAGAAATATTAATAAGGTTTTTAAACGAGACTTTGTTACATGGTCGATCAGAACTAGCACGAAACGTTAGATCTCCCAAAGTATTGGCATTTCCATACAAAACTATTTCGACGTTGGATTATTTTAACGAATGTTATGTAACTTATTTATATAGTTATTCCTTCTACATTTTTGGAAATGTTATTTATACCTGAATCACACGAAAATTACCGGGTGCTTTTAAAGCAAATAGCGAACCTCTAATGTGTATTGGACCAATTGTTTCAATCCCACAATGGGCGACTGCACTTTAATGCGGTGTAATACTATTTAAAAGGAAAACTGTGCCATTCAATCAATATATAGGCACGTTTTCTATTAGAAATTATTAGCATAGACATAATTTGGCACAATACACCGATTATTACGCACTCGTGTAAGCCCATTGAATTCTATGGCGCGAACAGAAACGTCCAATCGAATGGCACCACCGATCATCTTCCCAAACAACTGTGAACAAGATTTTACATTCAAAATCCTCCTTAACGTCAATCGTTTTCTTATATTTTATTGTATAAAACAAAACAATATACAATTACCTGTCAAGAATTCTAAAAAAAATATTAAACACCATACCCAGTACAACCTAAATTATCGATACGAAACGACGTCGACGGCTAGCGCCATCTGCGTCACAGCAGACGTTGTGGATAAGGATTAAGTCAACAAGAGTCAATACCAAAAGTTCTAGTACACTTTAATCCAGCTCCACGCCTGATTCAATCCTTATGACTCGCGGAACATCATTAATAAAAACATACAATAATAGCGAACAAATATATATACATATATACATCGACAGTCGACAGCAGCCGTCATGTCAAGTTGATACCGTGGGCGATACTACGCAAGTCGGAACGCAAGTCGTGTCAATACTTCTCGACACGACTCGTCCGTAATTTACGTTTCACCTGAGGAACATCCATATATATTCATCCCGAGTGTATCCTGTGCAGAACGATCGAAAAAGAACCGTCTATTTTCGTTCTATCGTCGACCCGTCAGACCGTCCAGTGTGCCTGTAATGTCGTCGTGCAGACGATGGAGCCTACTGTCAATGGCACGACTCGATCATCGCGTACGCACACAACCAGCGTTTCGTTGATGTGATCATACCCACACCCATAGGAATTCTCCTATCATAAGAACCACGAGCACAGTGTTGTGCGGCTCAGATTGTGCTTTGCTGTGGGACAGAGCGTCGCGAGGCCGGACTGGTGACAATTCTGTCTGCATTTCACCACACGTACTCCCTTTCCTCGCTTACTTACTGACTTACGTGGCGGGTATTCCAACGCTGAAACAACATGTGCGGTGAGTAAGAGAATTTCAGTCGCGGACCGCGCGGATCTTCCGCATCGTTTCCTTTTGGCAATTCGTCGGGCCTCGCTCGATCATTCGGGAGGGAAATTTTAAGGGAGAAAGCGGACGGCCGCGATCTCGCCGAAATCTCGATCCTTGACAGCTCGATCGAGCGTTTTCTATCGATACGGTGATGCGCTGCCGGCACGATTCTCTCCACGCCGCCGTACGATCGAACATCTGGCACGTTTAATAGCCGCGCGTGCCTCCTTAAACCTCGTTTACAGCTGGACACGTATTTAAAACATCCTGGCGTTAATTCCGCCCGCGAATTAAGGCTCGTTAACGCGCTGAAAGCGAACAGACGACACGTTGGAACGACACGTACGCGTCGGAGCGGTTAGCCGCGTAATAAATTATGTCGTTCGATTTTTCGGATCGATCCGGTCGAATCGATTTACGTGGATACACGCTTGTTCGGCCGTCGCGGAAGATGAACTTCCATTGGAAAAGGTAACGAATAATTTTTAACGCGTCGCTGTAAGTTTGGACCGTTCCGTACGTTTTCCCGTTCCGTCGGAAATAGAAATTGATTGAACTCGCAGCGTATTTCGCGCGTTATCGAATTCCCTATTGCGTTCCAATGGGGCAGGGGTGGGGTTAACTTCCCGATCTCGCCAATTAAATCCTATTAATAAAATGGAACCTTTGATATGGTCTTAATGCTTGTGCCGTCGCAAATTGGAGTTCATCCGCCACACGTGTAACTGTAACTGTAAGTCTGCTGATTTGTTTTCGTTAACATGGTGATCGCCTGGACTTTCTCCGACTTGAAAATTTGTTTCTTTTTCGCAACGCGTCATCACGCTAGTGGCGGAACTCATTTTCGTCGTTAACGTCCGCCCGAAAACGTGCCCACATCGAGAACTTTAAATTCCGATAAGATAGAGTGGGTGGAACGATAACGTTCTAGCCCACCGAGCGTAATTGTTGGAACAAATGTTGGAACAATATAGTGACGCAGGGAGTCGTTAAACGGAGCAATTATGCTTATCGGTGAAAGACTTATGTTTATGTCGAGGAACGTATTGAAGGAGAGAATAATAAGTTCTATGGACGCATGCTAACGTGTTTGACAGTAAATAGAATATCTCATTAATGTCTGATAATAATTAGAAGCTGGGAAACATCGGTGCTACGCGTTGCACCTATGTTCTAATTGAAACCAGCGAATTAATTGATATTTCCTGGCCATCTGTGACAACAGGCATAGTCAAGCATGGGTCAGGCATGGTCAGGCATGGTCAGACATGGGTCAAGCACGGTCAGTTGTAACCAAACACGGTCAGACACACGAAAACACGGTCAGACATGATCAGCAAAGCCAAGCAACCTGTGTGGCGTGATCTATCGGTCAAACGATCACCGTCTCACGGCGTTTCCATTACAAAAAATGTAACGGTACCCGTATCCTCCAACTGAATCACAATGAGTCGCTTTGAAACTCCTTAACAGACGGTTGTTGCGGCTCTTTCATCTAGATCACTGATACCATTTTAACCCTTTGCACTCGGAAGCTTCTCACTAGAAACATTCGACAGTTTCCGATGATACATAGGCGACACTATTTGAAACAAATTAAGAAAACATACGTAAATTAAGAAACAAATGAGAGTCACCATTGGGTGCAAAGGGTTAATTGTGACCTTTCTCCACCGAGTTGACATTCTTAGCCAATCGATGGCCTTAACACTAGAACTAAAATGACTGGTCTCGGTTCCTTGTTTCGCAATTATTCATACTTTGAAAGTATCGATTACCCGAAATGATTTCGAAAATAGTTTCACTTGGATACAAGGAATATCCGGAGAAACTGAAAATCTGTTACAATTTTTTGGGGATTACACATTAATCATATTAAATGCTCGGTAGTTCTAGTGTTAAATATCGAAAACGTTCAAAGAATGAATTGATTTGATCTGCGAAGGATTCATCATTCGGAACATTGGAATGTAGAGTTACCGATGCACCGTTAAGAGGACGCAGAATCGAAATTTGTCACGGGCCACATTCTAGAGAAACTCGGCACGGAGAACCCGCTCGTGGAGTGGTTGATTACGAAAGGTTTTTGCGTCACATCGTCCAACGGTGTAATATGTTGTTTTTGATCAGTCTCCGCGCGGCGAAAGTTAGGTCCCCAGCCGGGGTTCGATTCGAAGAAAGGGAATTCGACGTGCTCGTAACGTTCCCCCCTCCGCTAAGCATCGGTCAAGACCGTGTAATCGTGGATCACCGGCGCAATCCCCATGTAAAACGAAAAGTTACCGTTCGTAACGCGACCGATCGTAAAACAGCCCGTTCATCCCGCAACGCGTGTACATTTAATTAACCCCTCGCGGTGGAGCGCCGTATTAATGGCGGCTCCGAGCATCGACGTTCGAAACCGAACGCTGCGAATGAATAATTTCGTTATCCGGTACATGGTTCTCTTCTTTTCGAGGAAGGAGATGACGGATGTAACAGTGATTGATTCATTGACTTTAAACGTTTCCCGAACTGCACGAGATAGTGTATCTTTGAAGTAATCCTTATTATCGTCGCAATATTTGAATGATCAATGGAATTTTCTTTATTCCGTAAGATTAAGCTCAACGATAAGGACGCTCGTTTTAAGTAGAACAAAACGCGAGTTAATCGAATGCTTTGACGTTAACATTTCCGAAAATTTGGGAAATCGACTTCATCGATTCCGAGACTTCGATGATTCGTCATTTTCGTGGAACAATTAGAAGAATCTCTGGTTCTTTTCACTGTTCGACCAATCTCACTTCCGTTTACGTTCCGACGATGCTTTCGCAAACAAATTCGCGGATGCTTCCGCGGTTAAACAATGAATGATAATTAGAAAGAGGTTTCGAGTACATTTATCATCGCGCGAGTAAATATTTACAGGCTCCCCGTGATCCGTCCATAATTCATGAAGTCCTGAGCGAAGCGCCGACACCTGTACAATCGCGATAACTTTTTTCCCGTTTATTAGTCATTTTCGAATCCGCTATCTTCGGATTCCCCTTAATTGCCTTGCTCTCAAATAATCGGCGGCAATTAGTCGGTTACTTATCGCGGTCCGGTTTTATTTAGTAGCTGACCAAAGAGGAAAAACACCGGAGCTATCGACCGCTGTCTTATCAACAGGAATGCTTTGTGAATGAATTTACTGAGCGGTGTTCGATTAATTAGCTGTCGATACGCTGGGGAAATGAGGGGATTGGTTTATTTAATTCTTCATCGTGCTTACAGATTGTTGGTTCTTTCCAATTGTTCCTCGATAATTAGGTCAAAGTAGTCTGGCGATTTGTTTCTTTGAGAATATCGTCGATTCGTCGATTGAATTATTCAAATAAAAATAGATCATTAAAAATAGCATCGAAATAAGATTCCTCTCTGGATTCGCATTTCGCCGGTTCTATTTCCCATTTTTCGCATCTTCGCCGCGAAAGGAAGATGCACAAATTTCCTTTCATTTTTTATTATTAACGCTCAAGTATTTTTATTCCTTTATCGTCAAACGGTTCCAGACACGCGCGCCTATTTTCATTTTCTCGAGGACCTGATCGAGCCGCGACCGTCTCGGTCGACGACCCGCGTGTTTACGTCCCGATCCCTTATACCCGGTGAACGGCACGCAGATTTCCATGAATCGAGATTGAATTTCCTCGATCCAATTAATTCGATCACACTCCTAATTTTCAAGAAAACGGAGTATCTGTTTTCCGTTCTATTATCGTATTATTCATCGTGCACATTAAATTATCTAAGCAAACGAAGTTTCTCTAGAAACAATTAAAACCATTCATGAATATTCTTGTGACACCCAGTGTTTATTTACCTTTATTATCAAGAGCCATGCTTCGCAACATATATTTAAATTCGATAAAACGCCGAGGTCACACGCTCATGCCAGTGGTTGATAAACCATCTCGTTTACGTGACACCGGCTGATATAGGGTTCGCTACAATAATTATACTCTTGCACTATCATGACCTTGCCTGCTTTCTCATAAACTCGATCAAGGATCTCGTAATATTCACAAAATCAAAATAGAGCCTTCGCAATCCTATTTTCCTAATCAAAGTCCTCGTAAGTTCTCGCTAGAGCAGTCATAGACCTCTCGAGACCCGAAAAATTCAAAGAAACTCTTTCGCAATCTTATTTTCCCAATCAAAGTCCTCTTAAGTTCTCGCTAAAGCAGTCGTAGATCTCTCGAGACCCGAAAAATTCAAAGAAACTCTTTCGCAATCCCCGCGAATTCCCGCGAGGGCGAACGCGGACCTCGGAATTCGCGCGGACCAGAAAAATAATCGGGTCTGCGGTTGCGAGGCCGCTGCGCAGCTCGCGTCTCGATTTCGTGAGGAAGGTAAAGGTGAACTGGTGTCGCCGAGGCGAAAGGATCCGCGGAGAGTCCTGTCTTATCGAGGATACAAGATCCGCGCGCCTCGGGGCCACGTCTCCTCTAAATGTCACGTGTAACTGTCCCGTAGTGCCGGGCTGCTGCACCCTATCCGTCCAGCTCGCCACGAGGAAACTTTCACTCGTCGGCCGCGGGCTGGGCCGCGTCGACGGCCGGGCCTGTTCCCCGATCCTCCGTGCAGATTAGACGCCATTGTTGCGGTGTAACCGCGCGCCCGGTGTCTATTGGACAACAGGAGAAACCGCCGACAGACAGAAAAGAACGCGAGAAAAAGACGAGGGGGGAAAAAAAAAGGAAGGAACGGACATATTCGATGAACTTTGAGAACTCGTTGACTCAGCCGGTTGCAACACGTTCGCACTCTTGTTGCCCGTTAGAAGGCGGCCCCGGCTCTCACGCTTTCGTAATTTGCCGGAATGTTGTTTCGATACCGTTCGATTGTCCTTCGGAATTTTCGATTTTCGAAGGATATCGTTGGCTGTCGCCGATTAGAAGGCGCGGGAATTCTTCGGCCGTTGCGTGGAACGCGGTGGGCGACGA